CTGAAAATCATATCTAAAGGGCTGTCAGTCTTGTCCATAATGAAGGCACACCAGAGAAATGAAGAGGAACGTGTTTGTAAGAAGAGGATAGAAGAGGCAGAAGCGGAAATGGGAAAACACCCAGTTTCAGATGTCTTCTGGACGAGAGAGAGAACTCGATGGCTAGTAAAATGGGAGGAGATTCAAATTAAGAAGCAGAAAGTCTGGCAGGAGCTGTAGCGGACCCACCAGGTATGGTGCTCCGCTAGTGGTAGAGATGGAGATGGAGGAAGAAGGGGGAGCAAGATTACGCACAGCGCAGCTCCCACGCAGGACTCCAACGCATGTACTCCAGAAATGTGCAAGTGAAGAATGAGAGTGAAAACAGACAATGGCTGGGGTATACCCCAGCGGACTGACGGGACTGGACTSGACTGGCTGGTACCGACAGAGGTACCGGCCTGGACTGGCCTACCCCGAATACAACACAGGCCTGTGAGAACAGGCSAARGGGVTSGKCTCAYAVGCCAACCCGAGGTCCGCTACACGATCCTCGGCCTGTGATGGATCGCCTAGATACAAACATGCTTCCGCCAAGAAGAGGAACTCTACCAAAGAAAGAAAACTTGAGTAGTCTAGGATGCGGAGCAAGCTCCATGCTGAGTCCATGCGATGCAACCTAGGATATAAAATGTCACAAAACAGCAATGTCACAGCTAACAGCCTAAGTGAAAGTAGAAGCAACTAACTAACATACATGTCCTAGGAAAGCAAAAGCAACTAACTAGCATACATGTCTTAGGAAAGCAGAAAGTAGTGACAACTAGATCCTAGAATGTTGGAGGCACTAGCCTCAGTCTAGTAACAACTGACTAGTGTATAAGTCCTAAGAACAGCAAAAGCAGAACAACTAAATCCTAGAAATGTCAGAGGCAGTAGCCTCAGTCTGCGAGCAACAAAGCAACAACAAGTCTATCATATGTCACATGAGAAGTGTGTCGCAAACCAAAGGGTGGGATGGTCTCTGAGGGTGGCGAATGCAGCCTAGGGGTCGAAAACTCCTAAGGGCATCCACACATAGATAACAGGGAGACACATGTCATCAGGCTCAAGGAGGGTAGGGAACTGAGAGCGAACAGAACCAATGACCCTAACAGATAGACCATCAGGGCGCGTAATGCTCGACTAAGGGGTGACCGCTATGGAGGGTCGACCATGCAAAGGAACAGGGGAGCCTGGTATACTGGGCGCACCTAGATGAAGCATGCGGGGCTGCCTAACTAGGGCGTGAGGGCCGGCGAAGGGTAGAAAGATGATGGGTGAGGGAATCATGCAAATGACTCCTAAAGTGAGGGAAGTCTGAGCTAGATTCGTAAGATGGGAAGCCAGGGCAACGCTACGGTCCCGATGCCTATGCGTATACCAAGGGAGAGCCCAACTCAGAGGAATCCGGCTAAAGGGAGACCATCATGCGACACAAGCAGGGTACTGTACAGGGTAGAGTGGTAAGAGAGTGGCGACGTCTGAAGTAGGCAGAGTTGATCGTGATGAAGTCCATGAAGCTGCCGATGACGTCCACGATGAGAAGTCCGGAATGCCGTCGAGGAAGAGCCGCAATGTCGACGAGCCGAAGTAGCAAAACTGGAGTGGATGGAGTACTGAGAAGTCAAGGACGTGGGAAGGTAAGTCAGAGTCAATCGTCGTATCGAGCAGGACGACGACGAGTGCGCTGTGGACGCTCATAAGCATCCGGCTGCTGCTGAAGGTCTGCCTCAGATGGAGCAGGCTTGACTTTAGCGGTCTCCTCAACCGGGGGACAAGGAGGAGGGTCAGTGGGCTGAGGAGCAGCAGTGAACCCAACACGACGAGCACGGTCATAGGCACGCACCAACATGCGAGCGTGCTGCAAGTGCTCGAGGGGCTCCCAGGTAGCCTCCTCATCAGGGTAACTCTTCCAACGTACGAGATACTCGACGTGGGGAGGGTTGTCGTCGGTGACTCGGCGACCAATGATGTCTGAAACGAGGAACTCCTCGTGGCCGTCCACCATGAAGGGTGGAGGGCGCTCGTATGGTCGTCCAGTGAAACGCTCAGACGGTCTGCGGTAAGGACGCAGTAACGAGACGTGGTAGACATCATGCACACGAGCCTGGCGTAGGTAGTCGGGCAGCTTCACACGAAAGCTGACCGGGCTAGATGCCRYATCAGAACCGAMGGCCTGGAGGATGCGGCATGGGCCAAAGAAGCGACGTCGAAACTTGCGAAGCGTGTCCGCTTCGAGTTGTAAGTGGCGGGCGTCGATAAGCACATCATCACCGACTTTCAATGGATGGTTCATCCTCGATCGGTTCGCACGTGCTGCCATGCGAGTCTGGGAAGCGGCTATGTGCTCATGTGCGGTCTTCATGATCGACGTCATGTGTGCAACCCAATCATCCAGCGCGGG